GGGGGGGGGGGGGGGGGGGGGGGTGAGAGAGCTGCCACGAGCAAAAGGTCGCGTTATTTTCCATCTGAGCTGCTGTCCGCGAGGCGAAGCTCGCATCGAATAATCTCGCCGCAGAAAAAAAAGTCGGTCCGTGGCACAAACTGAAATTTTCCCTTTAAAATGCGGAATGGCCGAATGGAGACGGCGGCGGTCGATATAGCGGTGCTCAGGGGTGGAACGAGGGGTGGTGCGGGCCACCACCCCCTTCCTCGAGGACCCTCTTCCATTCAACCTCGTAAATAGCCGCCGTTTCTGAAAGACCTCCTCTCTCCCTGTCCTTCCTTTTCTTTTTTTTTCTCTTCCTACTTTCCGCGTACACGCCGGTGCACCTTGCGAAAATTTCTACGGTTCACCGAGCCAATTGAAACGCAATCAAATTTATCGTGGAGAATGCGGCCCGTGTAATCATCGGCCGCTCCTATTCCTCGACAGATATTCGGAATCTTCCACGAAAAATAAGGAGCCCTTTGTACGCCGTTTTCTATTCAACCTGCGCCGAGAATTTAGTGCAAGGTGAATTAGACTACAGTTACGGTGGATGGAAAATTTACGAACGTTTAGGAGCTTGTTTTTTTGGAACGGTGTCAAGGTGCGCGGTTAATTAATTGTTTGACATTTTGCTAGGAAAATAAGGGGCCTTTTGTACTCTGTTTTATGAAGAAGCTGCGCTGAAAAATTTGAAAATGATGGGTTATGGAGATGATAGACGAAGATGTGGTAGATGTCAGAAGCACAAATATGTGAGAACGTTATTTTGAAACGGTGTAAAATTATGGTTAATTAATTATTTGAAAGTTTGCTAAAAAATAGGGAAGTAAGGGTTAACTGTGCTATTTTCTGTTAGGCCAGCGTTTGAAAATTATCATAGGATGAGGTAGAGGGTATTAGACAGAATTATAGTTGATTTAAGAAGTGTAAAAATATGATAACGTCATTTTGGAATGGTGTAAAATTATAATTAAATAATTATTCAAAATGCTGCTAGAAATTTAAAAAATAAGGCTTTAGTATGCTATTTCCTATGCAATCTGCACTTGAAAATTACTACAGGATAATGTAGAGGGTGATAAAATTATAGTAGAGATATAAGAAGCACAAAAATGTGAGAATGTAATTTTCGAACGGTTCAAAATTCTAATTAATTAATTATTTAAAATTTTGCTAGAAAATCGGAAAGAAAGGTAGACATGTATTTAATTAGCACTGGTGGTAAAGAAGAGGGTGGTTGTTCTCCAATTTTCCGGCAACCGGTGGATGTCGCAAGCAACATGTTTTAGCGTCACTGCCAATGATCACCCGAACACGTTGCCAAAGGAGACATGAAAATGAAGCGTCGCCAGACGACAAGCGACTGCAGACGAGAACTTTTCAGCTCCAAGTTCGCTCATTGTCTCGTACCTTCGGCTTCCAAAAAGAAAATTGATTTGAAATGCATTACTTTCACAGTTTCTAATGAACTACAAACGTCCCCGCAAAAATATTCGCATTGAATAAAATTGTATTTCCACGTTCAAGTGTCTCAATAAGTCGAAAATATCTCATCAACGTATTTAAATTCTTCTAACTTCCTTACAGATTCGTATTTGTGCTGTTAATTTTTCTTAGAAATGCATCGAATCCGCAGTCATTGTTTCACACGATCAATAGAAATCACCAGCAACGTGTTCAAAATTCTAAAAAAACAAAATTTCTAGACCTTGCCTAAATAATTACATCAATGAAATCTAGCATAAATTGCATCTTCGTGCGCAACGAGCGAATTCATACGACAAAGGGGTTCGCGCGATCCTTTCGCAACAAAATACAGCGCTCGCAGTGCACTGTTCTGCCGGATTGCCCGGTGATAAATATCGCGGAAGGTCTCGCGTTTCGCGAAACAGCGGCCATAAGGGCGGTTCCGAGTAGGAGCAAAAATTGGCCATTTCCTAGCGGTGGAAATCTTTTCGGGTAATATTTACCTTCGAATCATCGGGGGGAGCGGGGCGCGCGGGGAAAATAAGAGGAATGCAAGGCTTGGCGGCGGTGGCGGCGACGGCGGCGGGGTGGAGCCGCGCGGACATAGTGTCGGGGTTGAGGAAAGTGGAGGGCAACCCCTTTATTAGATTACCGGACGAGTGTCGCAGCATGGCCATTCTTTGAGTTTCCGCCGAGGACCCTCCGGGCTTATTGCCTCGTTTCCCAAGCTTACCCTCGCGCTGCCGCCCACGCCCGAATCTATTTATTTACGCACTTTTAAGGCGCCACCCGAGCCGCGCGCTCAAAGACTCTGCAAATTGGCTTGGAATTGATTTCGCCGACGCTGGACGACGCGTCCCTCGTGCGAGGCGACGGGCCCTGCGACACGCACCGTCCACACCTTCGTTTATCGTTGTGGTGTCGATCTTCGGGACCTCGTGTCCTCGCCTTGGAAAGGGGTATGTTCTTTGGCGGACAGATAATTGGTCGATCTGTTGGATTAGAACTAGGTTTTCAACGCATTGGCTCGGTTTACTTAGTCAAAGGCGCTGGTTTCTTTCGTTGTAGTCGCTGGATTTTGTGCATTTACAATAAAATTGACGGATTGTAAGTAAATTCTTCGTAATTTTTTTTTAGCTTGTAAACAAAGATGGATAATATTTCGAAAGAGGAGATGCGATTATACGAGTTTTCCACCTTGTTTTTATAATTGTTGACAATAAAAATGACTATGAAAGTGACTAAAAATGAGTCGCGAGGCTCGAATAATCGTATCTTCTCTTCCCAAATTGTCNGGTGGAGCCGCGCGGACATAGTGTCGGGGTTGAGGAAAGTGGAGGGCAACCCCTTTATTAGATTACCGGACGAGTGTCGCAGCATGGCCATTCTTTGAGTTTCCGCCGAGGACCCT